AAAATGGTCCCTAAAGGGTCCCCAAACCCAGGGGTACAACCTTAGTTCTCCATAGCAAGCAACCACAGAACCTGAGACCCTGACACCAAGGACCCGAAACAGCAGCTCAGTCTTGCGAGAAGTCAGCATCAAGCCGCCTGGAGAGGCGTCCCATCTTTGATCCAGCCCAGGTCGTCCCGGAACATGTCCTGAAATGCGGTGTAGCATTGGGTCAACAAATCTCTCCAGCCTCCAAGCACTTTCAAGCTAAAAAAATATGCAGTACAATGCCACTGCATGTGTGGGGGCTGGCTAATTTGGAGGGTGGGATATTCATGGTTATGATCTGTGTTATTCCCCATCCGTGCCTGCAGGCACGGAACCTGACCCAAAGACTTCTATACAGTTTCTGCTTGGGTTTGTCAAAACATTGTTGGAAAGGGTTTGAGCATATCATCTCAAAGAAACTACGTATGAGCCCTAAACCCTGAACCCAGGGGTGAATACTGTCCAGTTTCCGCCATCCGCCTCCTCGTCTCCTCCTTGGCTGCTGTGCCGCCCGCAGGCCCTTGTTCCTGTAAATCACCTCCCTCTTACATAAACACGCCCCTACCATTAAACTGAAATACCGTCATACAAGACCATTGGGCGCTTAGAACCGGATGTGGTTGTGAAGATTTTGCTTGTACTACGTAAGCTGAAGCCGCAAACCATAGTTAGATTTAGGTGAGCTTTGGATTGAGGAATTCCCTTTTTTCATTGCAGCTTCCATAGCTTCAGGTTTTCACCGGCCCCACAGCAGAGAGCAAATTCAATTTTGTGTAGATGCCTTGTACGAACCGAGAAAAAAGCCCAGCATCATCCACGCAGGGGCTTTGTGTTGCATGTTGGAAGCTGACGCCAGAGCTCTGCGGGCATGTACCTAAGATTCTGTCGGATGCAAGTCGACTCGAAATGGAAATCTGATTAGATTCCTAGGGTATAGCGACCTCTCAGTACACCCGGAGAGCGGACCTTCATGAAGACATTGTAATGCCGACGAATTCAGCAGCTGAAATGCGACGAACTAACTCTATATCCGACACTTTATCAAGGTGATATGCGAACCCTCCCTTACAGCTCACACCCCAGGCCCAAGGTCATCAAAGGGCATGGGACCCCAAATCTAGAATTTAATCCCAGAGCTTTCAAGTAGATTTGCAGATCGTATTACGAAACGCTAGCTCTCAGAAAATTAAGGACTCATAGGCCAAGACATTGAGCCCTACACCTCAGTCCTGGGGGTATCATGCATAGACGTTCCTGCAAGCTCATCTACGCGAGGGTAGGATTTAGGGTTTGATTTCGAAGTCCAAGACACCCTTGCTGCTGTCAGCGCGAGCATTCCTGGATCACGGTTTGGGTACCATCTTTGAAAACTCGATTTTTTCTCCAACCGTGGTTGACCGTAGCGAATCTCACCAAATGTAATGATGTGGGAGCGCTACTCGACCCGAAATACTGCCTGGGCATGAGCAACATGTGACATGCTTCCTTACCCTCTCAAGACAAGATTCTAGATGCTAAAACAAGCACAAAAGTCTCGCTACTGGGATATGATTCACAATGCTAGCTTTACATTCCTTACCTGGTTGGATTATATTGCACCATGCTAAGCTTGAATTCAACAATGAGCCAGTATAATCCCCATAAAGCACGTTTGTTCCTTTTCGTTCTCCACTTCTCAACTCAGTTAGGCCCCTGAACCCCAAAATGGAATTTCAACAGCCCTAAGCCCTAAACCCTAGGCCCTAAACTCTAAACACTAGAGCCTAAGCCGGGAAACTAAGCCCTAAAGCCTAGGAACCAATAACCCACAAATCCTAAACCTAGGTTCCCAAGTAACCCCATAGCCCATGATAATAAAGGTACCCTTTTTCTGAATTTTTCGTTTTAATAAGGAGACACCAAAAAAAGAAGAAAAAGGGTACTACTGGAGTACCTAGAAACCATTATTGCCAACAATGACCCAGGATTCAGCAGTAGCTCAACCACTTCTAGGTGGCCTCTGCCAGATGCTGCTCGAAGAGGCGTGCCGCCCTCTAGTATATAGGTTTAGGGTTTAGGGCTTAAGGTTTGATGTTTAGGGTTGAAGGTTTCTGGCTTAGGGTGAGAAATTCCAAGCATAGAAGCCCATATGAGGGTTTCCATGAATAGCGGGATCGCAATTTACACCTCCACATACTACCGTGCCAGCAGTGCCTATTGTCCAAATTATTTGGAACCCCCACATATGGCCCCCATGTCAAAGGACTTCAGTCCTTGCAAGGTCCCCCCTAAACCCTGAACCCTTGTTGGGCTTCCATGTTTACCCGGGGGGGTGGTACGGAGTGAAGGACTTGGTGAGTTGGGGAGGAAGGCGCAGTGCTTCGGATGGAGGAGGAGGGGGGGGGGGGTTCAGTGTTTAGGGTTCAGGTTTGAAGGCTTAAGGGGTGTTGTTGAAGGGTTGTATAAGGTTGACAAGGTTATCTTCCGAAGAGTACCCGCATTTGCCAGCCCCATTCCAGGTCTTATACAATGAGGGGTTTAGGGTAAAGTGCCACTCTTTGGGCAGTGACCGCCTACAGTGCCTGGCGGGCCCCGAAGCGGCCTCCTAAACACCTCGCGAAGATGTCGTGAACCACTTGCCACATTCGAGAACGGGTTCTTAATCTTGCCTTACGTAGAGCCCGACTTGCAATGAACTTCCTGTCAAATAATGTAGACCCATGATTAATAAACCCCCTCCTTTTCAAGGGTCTTAATATTCGGATCCCTGTTACAAACCCTTTTTAGGGGAGGGGGTTCATTAATCACGGGTCTTGGTTCGCTACATGCCAACATGGAAGACTTCCAAGAAAGGTCAAATTCTCCATGCAGAAAGGATACCCCGAAGAGGTTTGACTATTTGTAGGGATTAGTTTGATGCGTAGGGCTTGTATGGAGTTATATGGGGATACTGGAAAGTAAAATGGAATCTATCATTTTTGGTTTTAGGGTTTTAGGGAATTGTTTCAGATTCAGAAAGCATCGAGTCTTGTAATCGTAACCCTAAACCCTAAGCCCCCTAAACCCGAAACCCTAATCCCCCGAAACCCTAAACAGAAAGCCTCGCGCCTTGTAATCGTCTGTGCCCTTGTTGATGTCCGCGCGTCTCTCCAACAGAAGCTGCACAACCTCCTGGGGCGACTTCTGGCGGTACCCTCCGATTAGGGTTTAGGGGTTTTTGGGTTTAGGGATTAACTCTTAATTACTCTCAACAATGCAGCATCAAGCGGATAGTGAAATGAACGCTGCGGTATGTCGGGATTATATGGAGCGTAGAGGGGTATAAAAGGTATAATGGTCATAGGTTGGGTCCTCCCCGCACGCAGCAACAGCCTATCATGGGATGGAGACCCTATTAAGGGTTACACATAACTGTACTATATACATATATATATATACACATATCGTCCAACTGTTACTGAGCTGGGGCAGTACCCCATTTGTACCCCCGATGTTAACGTCCAAAGACCGACCTTATAAGGCAGACAAGATTCCAAATGTCCGCTGGACGCGGCTGCATGCAGGGGCGTACCTGTAAACCCTGAGCTTAAAACCCTGAACCCTGGAGCAGTTTCAGCAATTGCCGTTTCTTCAATGACAACACTGCACCCCAACACGCAATTGTTGCGCCATACACCCTACTTCTGCCTTATCCTACTGGACACACCTATAATTCTATAATAGTCCTCCCCAAAATGTAGTTGTGATATTATCACACGGCTAAGATGCTATGTATTTCCATCCTAGGAAGACTGCAGTAAGCCAATGAATAATGACCCAGGTGCCCTCTTCGAAGTTTCGGGCGGCTCTGTCGATGCGAGCGCGGGCCTCTACAAGCATGTTCTGGTTGACATAGCCAAATCCTTTCAGGTTTACAGCTAAGTTTCTCTGAGGTCGCAAGTATCCAATAGTCAAATACTTAGGATTTGGGGGGGTGGAACAATTATAGTGCAGGTGTTGGCCAAGTATGTGCCTTTTGGGTACTTTGACTCTTAAGGGCTTGTGGTTTCCTTGGGGAAAGCAGCAAAAAAACGGAAAGCATTTCTCCAACCCAAGGCGGGGATGCTCATGCCGCTGGGACTCCTAGGCCCATGCTACCCTACAATCCTAAACCCTAAACCTGGGTTGCTGTTAAGGAACTTAAATTAAGTTACTATATTATCCCCCTATAATGGAGAATCAAATGGAAAAGAAAATGGAAAATGAAATGGAAACTGGGGGGATATAGGGAGTTAAGGAACTTAAATTAA